TTAATTGAATTCGTTCAATCAATCAAATCAATTCGAATCAATTCAATCAAATTGAAGACGTTGAAATCAATCATCAGTTAAACATTCGATTGATTTGTTCAAATCAATCGTCAGTTAGGTGAACTGAAACATCTCCGTGCGAATGAATCGTTAAATTGAGAAAAATTGAATTGATATTTTTATAACTCTGGTTAGAGCGTGCAGATATCGTCACTGTAATTCAGCAATTTCTCTGTGATCGCAGCAGTCATATAATTGTTGCGTATTTTACCATTAATTCGGCTGACACAACCAGATTTATGTGCGGACCAAACGTAATGCTTCTCCCGTGTAAACGCGATCACGCACAGAATGCATCCAACAATTGCAGACAGCTCACGTAATGAATTGCTTCCATTAAATAAAAAAGCGCGCCGAAAAACTTGGCCGGGAAGTACGCGATATCCGAGTTATATGGCGCTATAAAGTATATCCCGCATGGCGTGACGACTTTAGTTTATGCTCTTCAACTTTGCGGCGCTCTCTCTTTCTCTCTCTCTCTCCTTCTCCCTCCCTCTCTCTCTCTCTCTCCTTTCTCTCTCTTCTTTTTCTCTCTCCTCCCTCTCTCTTTCCTCTTCTCTCTCTCGCGTATCTGTCGCACATTGGGATCCCTACAACTTCTGTCTGACTACCCGCAAACATTCCGTCATTTTTCATCGTTCTCAACATATCGTTATACGACGTCCTGAAATATCTGATATCGCGAGGCACATTCATGGACCTCTTGTAAATACTGTGTTTCCGGCGTAATAATTCAAAGAAAAAATTTTTGGCGGAACATACGCGATCTTCTATCCCGGTTTTGCTAACGAGAACTAAAATCTTTTAAATCATACGAAAACACGTTTTTCATACAGAGAAAGTTTTCTATTTCTGTTTCCCGCGTTTTCCGTCTCTTTTATTCTTTTTTTACACTGAGTGGATAATTTTGGGAGAGTGCGACGTTTTAGACTAGACACGTGTAGAGATCGGTAGATCTCCAAAATTGCGATATAAATCTTTTATTTATCTACCCGCTTAGCCGTAGGATTGTGCGAGACGGAATGCAATTTCTTCTAGAGTAAATCCGACACGTTGCAAGATCAGATTGGATAGGAAATTCTTCAGGAAAAATATGAGATCACAGTTTTCTAAATTGGAACTACATATTTTCAGATTACTTGCAACAAACGAATACGTACACTCAAAATAAATGTCTTGCTGCTATAGATAAAATTTTAAATGTTAAAATTTATTTATCTAAAATTAGTTAAAATTTATCGCTGTTTTTTATATCTGTTAGAAAATTGTTTATGGTACATGTAGAATTTGCAGCAGCAGCAGCCTTCCAGCAATATCTGCTAACAAATTTAGGTTGTGAGGATTATACATTCGTTTGTCTCTTGTTTGTTGCTAGCTTTTTTTTCTTTTTGCTACCACAGTTAATTTTTGTAAAAATTGTAACTGGTTTTAATCTGGATGAACGCCACAGAGAGAGAGAAAGAGAGAGAGGAAAAGAGAGAGAGACTTTTTTGCTAAATTTTACAAATAGTTCAGAGAGAAATTCTGTCTCTGTCATGTATATTGATTAAATACCAAACATATATGCGACACATATATGCAGTGTTTGCTACATATCGATCCATTTTGACTAATTTCTCGTATCTAGATAATTCTCGCCATGACTGCAAGACCATTTCTCTGAGTGTATGATAAAAAAAATAAAATATAAGCTTCGTAAACGTAAAAAGCTAAAATATCTTTCCTCAGACACTAGATCAAGTGGAATAAGGGCTCTCAAGAAGTATCGTATATACGAAGGATATAATACTCGCGGGACCTTCTTGGAAAACAAGTCTCAGCTCTGCGCAACTGTGGCTACCGAAAATGGGATCTGATATGAGCTTCGCTAATCAAAATGTTTTTAGTCCTTTTTTTCCGAAAGGAGAAAAGAAGAAAATAAAGTTTTCTATGAACTCGTTACTCTACCCGTCTTCTGAGAGCATGTCGAGTGGATCTGTAAGCAACTTCCTCCTTGACAAAGATAGCAAATATTTCTTTTATCCGAACGCTATACGTTATGAAAAGATCGATCGGTGACCTGTTAGGCGGGGACATGAGCCGTTATCAATAATTTATTGGGAAATATCGCGCAGATACGCGAGAATAAATTTCTAAAAGAGCAAAGCGAAAGTTATTTACGATTCGTCCCAATAGACGAATAATCGTGCAAACACCCGTGAAAATCTGCCCGACATTTCCCCGTATCCAGCCCCACAACCATTTTCGCCCGCGTGCACCTTGTACTTCGCTTCCTGAATATGTCAGTTCACAAAGTATGTGTAACAGCCTGCCACTGTGCCATTTTCGTATACCGCGTGTGTGCGTGTATGCGCGTGTACGCGCATTTTCATTCGGGACACGTACCTTTCGAACGAGAAATCGCACCAACATTTACACGTGTCCGCATTTACCATACAATGCGCGGCGAATGCTGTTCGGGGTTTCGTCGAATAACTATACGGATCGGCTGTTCGCGACAGAATAACGAGATGGATGTCGCTCCGGAACTCCGACGACATTTCGCCGTGCCATTTTCCTTTTCGTAACACTTGGGTCCTCCTTGACGGGCAGATGTGCGCGCAGAACACGAAGGAAGCGGAGTACCTGAGACGCAAAAAGCACGCGCCACTCTTGATTAAAAGACTTTGGTGTCGAGAGACTTTCGTGTTTTTCCGTTTGCCCCGCGAGTCCGGCACAGTTGGCGATCCTAACTTTTCCAGGCTGCAGCCTTTCATTAGAACTGTCGAATCGATTATTCCGACCGCGCCTCGTTTCCAAGCTCAATTTTACACATTTCGCGAGAGTGCGTAAAATCGATGCGCAACACAAGGGAGATTCAGAGTGAGATTTACTGTAATCAACGCAAGGGAGAATCCTTAGAATTTCGGGTTTAAGACGCAAATAAGCCCGATTCGCCGGGGATTTGGCGTAAGGTCGGAAAATATACGCCGTATCGAACAAAGTTTAATCGCGTTTTCTCAAGGCTGACAAAGTTGCTGATCTAATTAACTCGATCGCCGATAATTACCGATAATCGCGAGCCCGTTTCAGTCACGTGGACATTTACGGCGTATACGGCGGACTGCAGTCGAAGCCTAACGTTCGCCGGGAGACGGGAGCCACGAATTACGTAATTATGCTTAAGCTACGGAGAGCACACGCGGACTAATCCCTCTTGCAGGCTGCAGTTAAACAGTTCTGCAGCCTTTACGGCGTCGTTGCCTCATGAAATTACATCAAGTTCGCGTATAAGGAACAACAACCAGGCATCGTTCGCCTGAATGGATGCGCAACGTCAGGAATCGTTCGCCCGCTCTGTCACAATCGAGGAAGACACGTTTAGATCAAACTTGAGACCATGCACAAATGTGTCAACTAAACTCGATTCACGAGCAAATTAAACTTAATCGCCATTCGACTGCATCCGCGAATCTAAATCTCGGTACCGTGGAGGTAAGAGAAGCAAAACGTCGGACGATTTTCCTCTGACCGTTCATTTGCACATGACTTATGCACCGTACAACAGCTATTTTAATATTTAGTATACTGCATACGCAAGACATGCACTCATCAACGATGAAGCTCCAAATCGCGTGGTTTCTGTTTTACTTATGAGACTCGCAAAATTATCCCTCTCTCTCTCTCTCTCTCTCTCTCTCTCTCTCTCTCTCTCTCTCTC